AAACAGCGATGGGACATAAATTTTTTGTCACATAATATTAGTAAACATCTTGCCTTATTTCATTCATAGATTTCAGATCTTAAACGAGTAGATGAAACTGTAGGTTTTATAATTTTTCATTACTGGAATCATGATAGAAATCCCAGATGAATTCATGGCATTCAATTTCAAGTGTGTGCCTTTTAAAAGGAAACAATATAAGTTAAGATAGTGAAAAAAGACAATCTTGCCACAAAAAAGGAAAAGTATAACTACCAAGTGACCCAGGCATTCTACGTCTATATCTCAAAATCAGACTCAAAGCGACATGAAAATTGCAGCATTATTCCTAATAATCAAATATAGAAACACTTTAGTGCCTATCAGCAGATGAATGGACAAACAAAATGTGGTATTTGCATCCAGAGGAATACTACCAGGAGTAATAAGCTCTTGAAACATGTCACAACAGGGATTGGAAGTGAAGGTCTGATGATGAGCAAAATAAGGGAATCATAAAAGGAGAAGTAATGTCTGACCACATTTACATAAAAAGGCAGGAAAAGACAACTGTATAGAGATGAAAGTTTCTTACTGTTTAGCAAGTGTAGGAGGCTAGAGAAGACAGGGGACGAACAGTGATGCAGTCACCACAGTGATTGGTCAGTTTGCACAGTGGTTGCTGCGAATGCCATCAATAACTGTGGACCTGTAAAAAGTTCAATCGGCAAAAGTTGTGTGATGAACATACAAGGGAATGAAAGAGTAGCTGCTGAGGTTGCTTATGTACAAAGCCTGAGATTTGGTTTCTTGGTTTGGGAGTTTAGGTCATGATTTCATGGGACATCCAAGATAATGGTCTAGGACAAAGTTTAATGCTTGTATTCTACCTCCTCCTATACTGCATAGTGCTTGGGATCTTAATAGGTTTCAAACAGCCTCCCCAGACACAAGGATTGGTCTGGCTTCACCTGTAGCTACAGAGGAGGAAGGAGCATCTGGAATAGGATGAGGTCATGGCATAGGTGACTGATTGCCTCATGGACAACCGCTTCCTCTGCCACAAGGCCAGAAAAACAGGTGATGCCTGGCCACTGTTACTGAACATTTTGATCAAAGATCTTGTCAATGGATCCTGGTCAAAAAAGGATAAATGCAGAACAGAATTTCAAATTCTCATAGATTGTAGACAAATGTACAAACTGTCTCACAAGTGCATTAAAATGCCAATTTTATAATAATTAAAAATGCTGACAGAAAACATGATAGGATATATCAAGCTGGCATATATGAGCAGGATCAGTAAGACCAGTATTAATGAATCTAGAGAAGTGAATACTCTTATGAGAGTCAAGTATCTTCAGAATAATATAATTTAGTACTCCCATTCTGAGCAACCCTGCTGGTAGGGAGAGGTTGTGTATTGGGCTGGAAAAGCACAAGGGCAGTAGTTCGAAACCACAGCCACCGTCTGGGAGAAGGATGGCCTATCCAGGCCCATAAAGTCTTCGTCTCAGGAACCCACAGCGGCAGTTCTACTCTGGCATACAGGGTCACAGCACGTCAGAGTTGGCTCAATGGCAATGAGTTTGAGTTTTTATTTCCAAAGAGAACATAAAAGCTGAATAAAAATGTATATTTATCTCTCACTTGACACGACAGTTTAATATTTAGCAATGCTAAAAAAGAACATGGTAAGCCAGGAATATGATCAGGATGATCATTGTTTAAGTGGAGAGAACAAAATATTTTTAAAACTTTGAT